CACACACACACACACACACACACACACACACACACACACACACACCACAGTGACCACACACACACACACACACACACACACACACACACACACAGAGGCACACGATCATTCTGTGTATGTCTTTCTTCCTGTTTTTCCTGTGTCTGTCGTCCTTGTATTTTTAACTTTCTGGGTGTCTAGCTGAGAACCTCACAATAGTGCCAAAGAGTCGCTCATTCCTTGTTTGAAGTGCTGGCAGCAGTATTCGGGGGGGCCCTCAGTTGGGGATGTCTGTCTCCTATGGGTGATGACGGATGTTCTTCGGAGCGACTCTCTGGCTCAGTAGGTGGTGGGAGCCAACAGTCTGAGGGGTTCAATTCTGATGTGAGTAGGTGATCTATAGCTTTGCTCCATGTTGGACGTGTGGACTGCCTTGTCTATGCTCCGCAGCTGCCTTGCTGCTCATCCTGCGTGCTCCCCATGTCGTTCCTTGCAGCTGGTGTGTTGCTGTGTAGTTTGGCTCGTTGTTGGTGTTGCCTTGTGCTTTGCTGGACTGCTGCCTTGCTGCCCATCTGTGTGTCGTGTCTTCCTGTGTCATGTGGTTTGGCTGTTTTTCTGTGTGGCCTTGTGCTTCTCTGTGTTTTGCCATGTTGCTTGTCTGCTTGCACTGCTGTTCCATGCAGTTAGCTTTGATGTTGTGCAGTTGGGTTGTCCCAGGCAACATTAGCCGCTGTTTTGCGGTTTCACTAAGTCATTGCCTGCTGCTATGTTCCGTTTGTGTTGCCTGCTGGCAGTCTGCTTTCAAGGGTCAAAGGGTTCATGACCCGGAGCATCAATACGGGGATTCCAATCATTCCACAGATTGTCGAGGGTTCAGCCTCTTGATGAGTCGGTGCAAGTCTGACGAAGCCATCTACCATCATCAGTTTTTTCTTTTTTTTTTTCTTTTTTTTTTCCAGTACTTATACTTCTCTTGTCTGCTGGTTGTTGTCTTTTTTCCTCCCTTGTGGGCTCGAATGTTGTGTGCCTTCCCACGTCCACCATGCCCTCCTGGCCCCTCCAACCTATGCGTTGCCTTGCTGCCCTTTTGCTTTGCTGTATATTGTCTGGCTGTTTCTTTTTTGCTATCTGTTCTATTCTGTTGTCTTTTCCCTGCTTTCAGACTCAACACACTCAGATGCGTGTTCTCCTCCTGAGGGGTTGTGATGGTATGGTGCGTGGTCTTTACCATGCTGGCCCTACTCAGATATGTGTTTCACACACACACACACACACACACACTGTGACACACAAAGCCAAGCAACACTTTGCGTGTGCGAGTTTGTTCCGGCCTAAAACAGCAAAAACTTAAGTGTGGAGCACTGTGGACTTTGTGCCAGCCGTTCAAGTTAGCAGGCCACCTTTCTTACACACGTGCGGATGAGCTGCAGCCTGCAGATGCTCGTGTGTGTTGGAGAGAGAGAGAGAGAGAGAGAGAGAGAGAGAGAGAGAGAGAGAGAGAGA